GGACACCTAGACACCTGCTCTCAAGGAGCTTTCAGTCCACTTCAGAAGAAGAGAAAAGTAGCCGGGCATGGTGGCTCACGCCTGTAATCCCAGCACTTTGGGAGGCCGAGGCGGGCAGATCACCTGAGGTCAGGAGTTTGAGACCAGCCTGACCAACATGGAGAAACCCCGTCTCTATTAAAAATACAAAAATTAGCTGGGTGTGGTGGCGCGAACCTGTAATCCCAGCTATTCAGGAGGCTGAGGCAGGAGAATCGCTTGAACCCAGGAGGCAGAGGTTGCAGTGAGCCGAGATTGCACCATTGCACTCCAGCCTGGGCAACAGAGAGACTTTCAAAAAGTCTCAAAAAAAAAAAAGAGAGAAGAAGAAGAGAGAAACAGAGAACATGAAAGTCACATACACATGATGTGGATGGGGTCAAGGGCCAGAGGCAGGGAGTGTATGGCGGCAGAAAAGCAGTGACTGGTGTGCTGGAGTCCCCTCCCCTGCCCTGAACTGGGCCTGGCCCACTGTCTCTCCAGACTGTTTTACAGCCTCCTGCCTCCTGGAACGCCTGTCCTCCAATCCAGCGTCCACACTGTCAGCTACACTCCAAAGGCCCCGATCCTCCACATCCCACTGTCTACAGGAGACAATCCAAATCCCTCAGCCTGGCATGCAAGACCCCCCACAGTCTGCCCAGTTCCTATAAACATCCTTTCATTCACCCTATGACCAAGTTACACCAATTTGTCACACCCTGGACATGACCATCATTTTAATGTAAATACATTTACCTAGCCTGACCCCTCTGCCTAGATGCTAAAGAGAATGGGCTCACTCTGGGGTTTGAGTCTTAGCACTGTGATCTCAGGTAAGTTACTTAACTTTTTTGTGTATCTGTTTCTCCATCTGTGAAATGGGGATACTGCTATCCACCTTCCAGATTAACTGAGGCCGGACGCGCTGCCTCACGCCTATAATCCCAGCACTTTGGGAGGCCGAGGTGGGTGGATCACTTGAGGCCAGAAGTTCAAGACCAGCCTAGGCAACATGGCAAAACCCCTTCTCTATCAAAAATACAAAAAATTAGCCGGGCGAGGTGGTGTACACCTGCAATCCCAGCTACTCGGAAGGATGAGGCACGAGAATCGCTGGAACCCAGGAGGCGGAGGTTGCAGTGAGCAGAGATCGCACCACTGAACTCCAGCCTGGGCGACGGAGTGAGACCTCCCTCTCAAAAAAAAAAAAAAAAAAAAAAAAAAAAAAAGATTAAATGAATTCAAACAAGTAGAGTTTAGATCAGACCCCAGTACACGGAAGGTACTCAAAAAAATGTGAACTGTCGTCAGCAACAATGGGTGGAAACCCTTGGAGGTTTAGCTCAATGTCACTTGTATCAAGAATGAATTTCTCGGCCGGGCACGGTGGCTCAAGCCTGTAATCCCAGCACTTTGGGAGGCCGAGACGGGTGGATCACGAGGTCAGGAGATCGAGACCATCCTGGCTAATCCGGTGAAACCCTGTCTCTACTAAAAAAATACAAAAAACTAGCCAGGCGAGGTGGCGGACGCCTGTAGTCCCAGCTACTCGGGAGGCTGAGGCAGGAGAATGGCGTGAACCCGGGGGGCGGAGCTTGCAGTGAGCTGAGATCCGGCCACTGCACTTCAGCCCGGGTGACAGAGCGAGGCTCCGTCTCAAAAAAAAAAAAAAAGAATGAATTTCTCCTCCCTCTGGGCATAGAGGTGCTGTCACTGTGTGTGTCTTCGTTTTTTCCTAGCGCCTGTTTATGTAACCAACCGTGGGTATTTTTCCATGGCCTCACGATGGAAATTCAACAGGGGGCAGTCCCTGAGAGAACACCCGGCTACTACTGGGCGCTCAGAAAATGCGGCTGCCTGGGCCTGTGCTGGGTGCACGGGAGACCTCCCAGGTGCAGGCTACTGAGGCTGCTCTGCTGTGGTGACAACCCCCAAATCTCAGAGGCTTCAAACATCAAAGGTTTATTTATTTATATTGGTTGACTGATTGATTGACTGACTACTCGGAAGGCTGAGGCAGGAGAATCACTGGAACCCGGGAGTGTTGCCCAGGCTGGAGTACAGTGGCGCGATCTCTGCTCACTGCAACCTCTGCCTTCCAGGCTCAAGCGATTCCCCCTGCCTCAGCCTCCCGAGTAACTGGGATTACAGGTGCCTATCACCACACCCGGCTAATTTTTTCGTATTTTTAGTAGAGACGGGGTTTCACCATGTTGACCAGGCCGGTCTCGGAACTCCTGACCTCAAGTGATCCACCCGCTTCAGCCTCCCAAAGTGCTGGGTTTACAGGCGTGAGCTGCCGCGCCCAGCCCAAAGGTTTCTTTCTCTGTCCCACTGTGTGTCCCTTGCTGGTTGGTGAGGGCTCTACATCATGCTGTCCTCACTCAGGGACCCAGGCTGACAGAGCTGCCACTCTCTGGGGCACCGCCAGTCACTTGTGGCAAAGGGAAGGGAGTGTGGGAAATAGCTCACTGGCTCCTAAAGACTTCTGCCCAGGAGTGACAGACATTCCCTGTGCACGTCCCACTGGCCGAAGCGGATCAGGAGGGAAGGTGCAGCCCTGCGGTGGGCTCATAGCATCGGGAGACTGACGGCCAGCACAGGAGGCCGGCTCACCACTTCAGAAGACTGCTGGCCTCAAACCACTTACTGGCACCTCCTGGGAAGGAGGGCGGGTTGTGCACGCGGTTGTGACTTTAGGCGGCTGCACTTGGCCCCCACCCAGACAGAGGCTCCAGGCCTCAGGCAACAGAAGCAGGAGGAGCAGCCCTGTTCATTGACAAACTGGGACCCTCCAAGGCTCGGTCCTCAGAGGCAGAGTGGACGCGCAGACTGGGAAGGGGACAGAGAGTTCCGGGGCCACGCCAAGCGCAAGGCTGGACTGCCTGAGCCTGTCAGATGTCCATCCGGTTCCTAACCTTACATTCGCAGACGCCATCCACTGCATGGTGGGCAGGTGAAAAAGGCCTGCCGCCCTGAGATCAGAGGGCCTGGCTCCTCCCAACAGACAGGACTCTGGTATACTCAGCCTACCCTTCTCTCTCATGCGGCCTTCCTCAGGGCTCCAGTGACGACATCTTAAACTCATTCAGCTGAAAGAAAAATTACGGTAGCAGGCCAGGTGCGGTGGCTCATGCCTGTAATTCCAGCACTTTGGGAGGCCGAGGCGGGTATATCACCTGAGGTCAACAGTTCAAGACCAGCCTGGCCAACATGGTGAAACCCCGTCTCTACTAAAAATAGAAAAATTAGAAAAATTTGTCGGGTTTGGTGGCGCATGCCTGTAATCCCAGCTACTTGGGAGGCTGAGGCACAAGAATTGCTTGAACCCGGGAGGCGCAGGTTGCAATGAGCAGAGATCGCACCACTGCACTCCAGCCTGGGCGACAGAGTGAGACTCCGTCTAAAAGAAAAAAAAAAATGACAGTAACCCCTTGTTATTCACATGGGGTATGTCCCAAGAACCCCCATGGATGCCTGAAACCAAAGCTAGTATTGGATCCTGTATATGCCATGTTTTTTCTATATATACATATCTGTAATGTAATTTAGTTTATAAATTAGGCACAGTAAGAGATTAACTACAACAATAAGGTAGAACAATTTGGTTTTTTTTTTGAGACAGAGTCTCGCTCTGTCGCCCAGGCTGGAGTGCAGTGGCGCGATCTCAGCTCACTGCAACCTCTGCCTCCCGAGCTCAAGCGATTCTCCTGCCTCAGGCTCATGAGTAGCTGGGATTGCAGCACCCGCCACCATGCCCAGCTAATTTTTGCATTTCCAGTAGAGACGGGGTTTCACCACTTTGGCCAGGTTGGTTTCAAACTCCTGACGTCAGGTGATCCACCTGCCTCGGCCTCCCAAAGTGCTAGGATTATAGGCATGAGCCACCACGCCCAGCCAAAGTAGAACAGTTTTAACAATATACTGTAATAAAAGTTATCACACACTGTAATCGTAACTTTTGCAGTTCCAGGTGTGACAGCAAAACTGGCATGAGGCCGGGGTCAGTGGCTCCCGCCTGCAATCCTAGTACTTTGGGAGGCCGATGTGGGCAGGTCACCTGAGGTCAGGAGTTCGAGACCAGCCTGGCCAACATGGTGAAACCCCATCTCTACTAAAACTACAAAAAAATGAGCCGGGAGTGGTGGCAGGAGCCTGTAGTCTCAGCTACTCAGAAGGGTGAGGCAAGGGAATCGCTTGAACACGGGAGGCAGTTCAGTGAGCCGAGATTGCGCCACTGCACTCCAGCCTGGGCAACAGAGTGAGAGACCGTGTCTCAAAAAAAAAAAAAAAAAAAAGCAAAAAAAACCAGCTTGAATTTTTCTTTACAATTTCACAGACAGAAGATTCAGCGTATGACTGTTTTGTTCCCATCTTTTCACTTAAAGGAAGCACCTTAGGGTTTCTCTTTGGCATATCTGAATAGCCAGCATCACTACTCGGGTGCTTTGGGACCCTTATGAAGTAAGAGTGACGGGAACACAAGCACTGTGATACCAGGACGGGCCATCTGATGACCAAGTGACTGACCGGAGTGGGGAGCGTCTACGGTGTGGACATTGGAGAAACAGGGACAGTTCACACCCCGGAGGGCACGGCAGAGACCATCACACTGCTCAGCACCACGCACAGTGGAAAACTTGGGGAACTGTTTCAGGAATTTTCCATTTAATATGGGCTTTAGTATCTGATATTTGCCCAGCATGATCAGGCATTTGCTCTCATCTCAGAGCTTCCAGATAATCGCATAATTTGTAAAATGACATTTATAAAGAGACGATATGTTTCATACCTGTCGTGGATACTGAAAGAGAGAGAGAGACTACGACTGCCTCCCAAACTCGTGGTTGCCTGGGTGCCTCTGGGCCAGGCCTGCCTGAGCCTGGGCTCCTGTGGGGGTCTGGGAGTAGATGCAGCGATGGTGGCCCCCTCCTGGAAACCACCCCACAGCCATCCCTACCAATCACAGGAAGGCTTACGATGCTCTGGGGTCCCTGCAGGGATGCTGACTCAAATAGATGTTTCTGCTGAGCCAGGAACAGACGGTGGGCCAGCGAAGCCCACGCCACGTGAAAGGAGAGCCTAGGTCTATGGGACACAGAGTTCTCTTTGAATGAACTACCTGCCCCATCTGGCAGGAGTCGGCCTGGCTGCATCCCCTCCCATGAAGGCTTCTGGAACGTGCAGGGGCAAAACCACTGCTGCACAGACATGCTCCTGGCAAAGGTCCTGCTGGTGCCTTGTCAGGTTCTGGAGTGGTGTGAGCCGCACGGCATCGGTCCCCCTTGCTGCTCGGGCCATCCGCCTCTCCTTCTCTGCAACCTGCCTTCCAGGCAGTTGTGCCGTGAAGACCTGGGCAGCCCGGGTGCAGCAAGCTCTCCTGGGGCTGAGTACACGCAGCAAGAAGGCCGGCACGCAGCCCCGCATCGTCCTCTGAGCCAGCCTGCTGCATCGTGCTTGGGTTACTCCCTGACCCAGCTGAGCACCTGCGGCCAGGGGGAGGATGAGACTAGGAAAGGGGCCTCCGGTCACATGGTTCAGTGCAGGAGAGAAGAACTGTTCCAGAAGTCCATATGACCCGAGTCTGAGCTTCAGGTCTCCAAAAACAATCATCGAAAGCTGGGCATGGGGCAGGTCTTCCTTTCTTACTTGGGGCCACAGTCACCGGACTTTCTGGTGTCTGAAGTACACACTGATCTGCTCTCTGTCTACAAGTGAACCACACAGGAGTCTGCTGACCAGGAGCCTGGGTTACTGTGCTCTCACGCTCTCTCTCTCCCACACTGACATTTGTAAAGAGCTCCCAGGCGGGTCTCTTTCAGGAGGCACTCATTTGGGATCTGGCTGACGGCTCCTGGCTGCCCCTTATTAGAGTATGTTCTGAAGGGAAGTTCTTGGCCGAGATGGAACCTCACAACGAGCACGGCTTAAAAGCTGTCCACTGAACTGTCCAGGGAAAGGATGACCCACAGATGGTGTCAGGAATGTTAACCAGGTAACATTCGCAGCAGTCCTTTGGCGAAAGAGTTTGCTGTCTTAAGATTCCTTCTGGTTGAGGTGTCTCCGGAGCACGACCAGGGCTGCCCCGACAGCTGCGTCCACATCCTGCCCAAAGGACACGGGCAAAGGGAAAGCCCTTTGCACCTCCTGCTTCAGCACCTCGTTCCTGGACAGCGCACTCCCACTGCCCATCACCCGCTCCACGCCCCACTCCCGGAGCTGCTGAATCGGAAGCATGGAGTGCAGGTTCTGAACAATGCCTCGGCACAGAGCCCGGGTCACGTGCCCCAGGGAGAGGTCAGAGGAGGAGATGCTGGTCACGGAGGCCAGCTGGTCCGGCAGGTGCCTCTCCCCCAGCACTGTTGGGGTGATGGTCAGGTGGGTATCTCTCTGCTGCACAGCTGCCTGGATCATGCGTGAATACACGGTGGATTCTTCAACCTCCAGGCCTGCCAGAGACAGAGAGATCTGTGTGAGCTCCTGCAGCCCCCTGGATGCAGGCTGAGATGGTACAGAATTCCCACAGGGCGGGAACAGCGCTACTTGCTGCTTCTCCTCCCGCTGCAGCTGGTGGTTCTGGGCTCAGGGACTTCTATAGCCAGGCTAGCTGTACTCTGCCCTGGATCCCCGCCCGCTGTTTCAGTGCAGACCCCAGGCAGACATCAGGGTGAGATCTCGTAAGTGCTGCTGTGAGCCCTAACCCTAACCCAGGCTTCTTAACCAAGGGGACCAAGTGCATATACTGATTAATAACTATCACTGGCTGGGCGCAGTGGCTCACACCTGTAATCCCAGCACTTTGGGAGGATGAGGCGGGAGGATCACCTGAGGTCAGGAGTTCGAGACCAGCCTGGCCAACATGGTGGAACCCCGACTCTACTAAAAGTACAAAAATTAGCCGGGCGTGGTGGCAGGCACCTGTAATCCCAGCTACTCAGGAGGCTGAGGCAGGAGAATCGCTTGAACCAGGGAGGCAGAGGTTGCAGTGAGTGGAGCTTGCACCCCTGCACTCCAGCCTGGGCGACAAGAGCAAGACTCCATCTAAAAAAAAAAAAAAAAAAAAGCTATCATCATGGATGTTATTAGAGTCATTAGCAGCATCAGAAATCCTAGGATCCAGGACCGATCACTGTCTGGGCCACCCTTGTTATGTGCACAGGACACCTGAAAACCAAGGCGGAAAGATGAGTGGACCATCCTACAACTTGCTTTTCAGTGTCAAGCCAGAATCCCAGTCGGACTTTTCTCCCTGACACCATGTTAGCGCTGCGTTCGTTTTTGTTTTGTTTTGTTTTTATCTGAGACTCACTCTGTCGCCCAGGCTGGAGTGCAGTGGCACGTACCCTATCGGCTCACTATAACCTCTGCCTGCCGGGTTCAAGCGATTCTCCAGCCTCAGCCTCCCAGGTAGCTGGGATTACAAGCCTACACCACCACACCCAGCTAATTTTGGTATTTTTAGTACAGACGAAATTTGTACTAAAGCTCTCGATCTCACGTGATCCACCCGCCTCAGCCTCCCAAAGTGCTGGGGTTACAGGTGTGAGCCACCACGCCCGGCCAGCTCTGCATTCTTAAAACAAACAAATGGAAAAAAAAAAAGGGCCAAGCGTGGTGGCTCACGCCTGTAATCCCAGCACTTTGGGAGGTCAAGACAGGCAGATCACTTGAAGTCAGGAGTTCCAGACCAGCCTGCACAACATGGTAAAACCCCGTCTCTACTAAAAATACAAAAATTAGCCAGGTATGGCACTGTGTGCCTGTAGTCCCAGCTATTTGGGATACTGAGGCATAAGAATCGCTTGAACCCAGATGGCAGAGCTTGCAGTGAGCTGAGATGGTGCCACTGCACTCCAGTCTGGGTGACAGTGCAAGACTTGGTCAAAAAAAAAAAAAAAAAGCCTTTGCTTTCAATACACTTTGACCTTAGAATCACTTTTGATCTCTAACCTAGCATTACCTGAGGGAAAGCAAACATCGCCTTGATAAGAAGAAAGTTATCAACATCGGGGTTTCTTGAGAGCACTGTGGGCCCATCTCCACACTTTCTGATTTAACTGGTGTGGGTTGCAGGCTGAGGGCTGGAATTTGTAAACACTTGTGGGTGATTCTTATACACAGCCAGGCTGGGGAGCCCCCGACCTAGACCTATGGCTTCTCCAGCCTGAACGTACAGATGAGTCACTCAGGGATCTTTTTTTTTTTTTTTTTTTTTCGAGATGGAGTCTCACTCTGTCACCCAGGCTGGAATGCAGTGGCATGATCTCAGCTCACTGCAACCTCTGCCTTCCGGGTTCAAGGAATTCTTCTGCGTCAACCACCCGAGTAGCTGAGACTACAGGCGCCATGCCACCACGCCAGGCTAATTTTTGTATTTTTTAGTAGAGACAGGGTTTCACCATATTGGCCAGGCTGGTCTTGAACTCCTGACCTCATGATCCGCCCTCCTCGGCCTTCCAAAGTGTTGGGATTACAGGTGTGAGCCACTGCGCCCGGCCAGGGATCTTTTTAACACATCGCTTGGACTCAGATTGCCTAGGGCTGACCCTAAGGTTCTGCATTTGTTAAAAGCTCCCAGAGGAAGCTGTACTGTAGGCCCTGTGCTGTGGACCAGGCTTTCTGAGGAGAAAGTTCTAGAGCAGTGCTTATGAACACTCCAGGCCTCAGAATCACCTGAGGAACTTTTATATAACATCATGCTCAAGGCCCACACCCAGTCCAATAAATCAGAATTTGTGGGTGTGGGAGCAGGACGCAATGCTATTTTTAAACTCCACAATACTTCCCGGGTGTGGTCACTGCTGAGACCCATCAATCTAGAGAGTCACCAAGGAGTCACCGTGGGAACACTGAACCTCTGCAAATGCAGGGGTGCAGGGGTGCAATCTCAGCCCCACTGCAACCTCCGCATCCCGGGTTCAAGCGACTCTCCTGCCTCAGCCTCCCAAGTAGCTGGAATTACAGGCGTGGGCCACCACACCTGGCTACCTTTTGTATTTTTAGTAGAGATGGGGTTTCACTATGTTGGCCAGGCTGGTCTCAAACTCCTGACCTCAGGTGATCTGCCCGCCTCAGCCTCCCAAAGTGCTGGGATGACAGGCGTGAGCCATCGCACCTGGCTGTTTTATTTTTTAAATCATGTTCTTGTCTTTCTTTAGTAGAAGTTCAGGAAAAAAGGTTTTTGGTTTTTTTTTTTACAGACAGGGTCTTGCTTGTTGCCCCGGCTAGACTTGAACAACTTTGAGCTCAAGCGATCCTTCCGCCTCGGCCTCCTGAGTAGCTGGGATTACAGCCACGTGTCACCATGCACAGCACCAAAAACAGTTGTAAAGGAAGGTTAAAACATACTCAAGGTCTTCTTCCTCTCTGGGAAATACCTGGGCCGTGACCCAAGCCCTGGGGTACCTGAAGGAAGCCGAATCCCAGCTGGAGGCCTGGAAGAGAGGCCTGGCCTCTAGCAGAGTGTCTGCATCCTCAGCTCCCCCTAATCTATTAGTGAGGACTCATGGAGGCCAAAACTGCTACGAGCTGTTGAGTTAATTCTAACCCATGGACTTAAGACCACAAGACACTGGAGCTGGGGGAAGGTGCTTGCCAAGGCCGAGACTCAGGGACACAGCTGGGAACCAAGGCCCCTCTCCTGGGTTCCACCCCGCACCGTGCTTCTCTGAGAAATGTCTACCGGCGGGTCTTGGGCTTCATGTGCGTTTCAGCGTCCATTTTTCAGGTCTCAGACCCCCACCCAGGTCCTGCCATATTTCTCCCATCAGGGATCCTGAGCTTGCAGCCTCTCTTTTCTTCTTGTTCCTCTGAGCCTGCCATCACCCTACTTTTTTCTTTGGGTCAGGCACCCCTTCCTCAACCTTGTACTGTGAACCTTTCTAACAGTCTCCCCAGCTTCCCCACCGCCCTCCCTGCTCCCCTTCTTTTCCCTCGCCTTCGCTCCTTCTGGGGGATTATTCTGGGTAGAATTTACTGGAGGTTTTCTCTGCTCCACTCCATAGACCAGATGCTCCTCAACTCCTAAAATAGTGCCGTATTTCACTTACAATGGCATCTTAT